AGTTATATAGATTTTATATTCTATATATAAACATGTTTTTTACTAATTTTCCTTGCTCAATTTAGTTAATAAAATAAACTTGAAAAGTTTAACTAAAATTACATAAGTATCTCAATAATGGCACATGCGCAAAAAAAATAAAAAAGAAGGTTGCCGATGGTAGGACTTGAACCACGGCTAACTTGGTCAGAAGCCCAGCGCGCTAACCACTCTACTACGCTGTCACGTAAAGTCTTGAAGATTTCAAATTATATAAAAATTGTTTTTTAACAGATAAAAACACAAAAGATTAGAAATTAAGCAAAGGTTGACGAAATGCAGTTCTTAAGTGAAAATCAAACTGTTGAACTTGTTTAAGCATGTTTTAACATTACATAACATGAAGTTTATGTACGTACAATATGAGTTTCACGTTTGCTCGTGTTTTCTTATAAAGCAAAGGTAAGACTCTTTCTCGTCACTACCTCGGATGCAATGGTTGCCAAGAGTATCGTGTCAAACAGGCTCGAAAGCGCACTACTACTACTACTACTATTAAGTCCAGTATTATTATAAAGAGATTAGTCAAAAATTGCTGCATGGAGTGATTCTAATTTTGCCCATCTCTGTCTCATTTTTTTAGTTTTCTTATAACTAATATATAAATCAGGGAGAATAGTTGTATATCTGAAAAAAGTTATTTTCACTCTAATGAACAGGGTATTAAATTGTTAGTTATAACTGTTTAAAGTTTAAATATTTGTGTCTTTTACTTTAATTTTTTAAGTATCACCTTATTTAAAAGCAATTTCTAGAAGTAGTATTGTAATAGTATTGTTACTTCCACATTACAACTGCAACTTAAGCAAAAATTATAACAGTAACTTAATGTGGTAGTGGTGTAGTGGTAGAGCGCTTGCTTCATAAACGAGTGGTTCCGAGTTCGATCCCCACCACGTCCCTGGTAGTACCGCGCTCAACTCGTTTCTCGGCGCAGCGGCCTTGTTCGTCAAGGTTCGTGTTTCGGAGTTATAGAGTTTAGAGAGGGTTATAGCCACAAATAAGTAGCCTCCTCGTCTGTAGTGGCCTTCTCGGCCTTGAGGAGGTGAATTAAAATAAAAAAAAAAAAAACTTAAGCTATTAAGTTACTATTACGCAAGTTACAGTAACGCCAAACAAGAAAAATGTACGATATTGTTTAAATATGTGAGATATAATGTTAAAAAATATCAATTAAAAATTAATGCACAGAAAAGAAAATTAAAGTTATTTTAAAATATAGCATATTTTTAAAAGAAAATTTTCTAATAATTCAAACCCTTTACCACAAATTGACAGCAGGAGGCAGAGGATGTAAAAAAAATTTTAACAAATTTTTTTGCGATAATTTGAGTCCTGTATTGTTTTGTATTCATATTTAATTCTTAAGCAGACAAGGGTTGAAAAAACCTCCAAACTTTTTTAGGGCAAAATTTTTTATGCAACTTCTATAAATTTTTTTTTATAAATTTTTTAAATATTTGTCTATAGAAATTTAAAAAAAGTCTGTAGAATATTGGATTGCAATATAAAATCATGTATTTTTGTTTTCAAGTTAACTTGATTCAGAAGTGTATTAAAAATATTTACTATGGGGAGGAATATAAAAACTACATATACATACCCTTAATAAAATAACCTATCTGTATGTTGAAGTATAAAGTTTTTTTGTTTTTTTGTTTTTTTTTATTTATTCACCTCCCCAAGGCACTACGGTTGAGGAGGCTACTCATTTTTTTTTTTTTTTTTTTCATTTTTAAAATTATTTCACTTTTTTTTTTTTTTTTTTTTTTGTAAATCGTGGTACAACCCTCTCTCAACTCTTCAACTCGGAAGTACGAATCTTGACAAGCAAGGCCGCTGCACGGAGAAATTAAGTTGAGCACGGTACTTCCAGGGACATGGTGGGAGTCGAACCCCGAACTTCTCACTTACAAAGCGAGCGCTCTTACCACTACACCACTACCGCATTAGTATGTAATGTCAAAATTAAGTTCAGTATGAAATAAGAATTAGTTTCCATAAACATAAAAATTATTTATATCAAATAATCAAAAAATTTATTTTCTACATTCTTATAAAATATGCTATATTTTTAAATAAATTTATTTTTCTTAACATTTGAAGCAATGTTTAATTTTGATTGCTGTTTGCAGTTTTTCTGACAATGTTCCATTTCTGAAGAGACTGAAAGTAGTATTTATTTTACCAAATTAATTATCAAGTTGATCTGGCAGATAAGTTGAAAGAGTTTCTTTACTAGATTCATGTTAATAGATAGGTGCCTTGTTAAATCACTTTGGACAATTTTTACTTACAAAAAATTTAATACAATGGAAAAGTTTTGAAAATTAATTTTCTCTTAATTTTTCCGATTTCAGAGGCAGTAATGAAACAAAAACAATAAACTTTGTCTAAAGAAGAACAACAAAAAAGGGAAAAGTATTCTTTTAAAACTAAAAAATAAATATTAAAAGTATTTATAACACATTTATTTTTAACATATTTATAACACATTCTTGGATTGCACAAAACAACTCACATAGTTTTTTTGTGTTTTATTTGTGTTTTTTATTTGGTGGCAAAACAATCTTTGGGATTTTTTACTTGGACAAAATATCTGCATCTTTTTCTTCAGGATTTTGTGGTAAAACTGTATTTGTTAATTGCAAATCTTTTACAATGGGTGTTAGTAATAAGGTATCTGTTTTATTAGGCATTTTTCCTTTTTTTTAAATTTTATCTGGTATGGTAGAAATATGGCAGGAGTTATAACAATATTATCACTGTTGCTATGTTATCAGTAGCAATGTTGTATATTGTTGATATTGGTAAAATTTGAGATAAAAGAAATGGAAAAAATAATAAGATTAATGTAGGAATATTCTACTGGTGACTGTATCTCTAGAAAATCTAAGTTTATAAATCTAAAAAATCTAAGAAGAAACTAGCATGTTGTAAGTATTTAAACACCAGAGCTTGATCATGTGATCATTGATCAATTGACTTTTTTTACATCGCTTTACAAGCTTTCTATAATTTTCTTTCTACTTGTTTCAATGTACTTGCGCATCTTTAACATATTTTAAAATTGTTGATTACATGCAACAGAGTTAATCAAAAACAAAAATTAAAAATGAAATGTAAATGACATACATTTTATTTTTTTTACATTTTATTCATGTAAAACATAGAATAAAAATAATTAATATGGTAGTAAAAATAATTGATAAACGAGTATTATAAAGTTTACATGCATTCACTGCTGAATTTTAATTCCTAATTTTATTTCATTTTGTTTTTTATTCTATTTTGTTTTTTATTCTACTTTGTTTTTTATTTCATTTTGTTTTTATTTCATATTGTTTTTTATATAAAACTTTTATAAAAAGTTTTTAAATATAAAAAGTTTTATTTATTTTATTTATTTAAAAGATAATTTTTTTAAATGATTTGTTTTTTATTTTTTAAAAAAAGTTCAAATATTTTTAATTGTATTACATTTTTTTAAAAACATGTAACAATGAATTGAAACTGTAAAACAAATTAATGTATCCTGTTAAATCAGGATGCATCCATAGTATACACAATCATGAGAATGATTGTATATATCATGAGATGAGAAAAAATCATCTATATAGGATTTCATAATTGTATATATTATAAGATGAGAAAAATCATCTTTATAGGATATCATATTTACATATGTCATGAGATGAGAAAAAATCCTCTATATAGGATATCATAATTGTATATGTCATAAAATGAGAATAAATCATCTTTATAGGATATCATAATTGTATATGTTGTGAGATGAGAAAAAATCATCTATATAGGATATCATAGTTGTATATATCATAAGATGAGAAAAAATCATCTATATAGGATATTATAATTGTATATGTCATAAGGTAAGAAAAAAACTTATAATAAAGTTTTATCTAACAGGGTTTATCACATTGGTAGTGTAGTTGAGTATTTTGCGGTTTTCTATTAGAACATAATAATTTTTATTCACTTTCATATTACTTCTTCAAAAATATTAGTGCTTTACAAATTTGGTGAAATTAGGGTTTTGGCTGTTTTTAGTGAAGTTCTTTTTTACTGCAGTATAGATTTGGCAAAAATTACAGGGATAAAGCATAAACGGTGATGAATTTTATCTAAGGTATAAACTAGGTATTGGTGCTGAGCCTCTTCGAAACGCCAGCAATAATAAATAGGTTTCTAAGGAGAAGTTTATTACCAATACTACATAAATTATAGTTACACAAAAGCTAAAATGTTATTTCTTTATCTTATACGTCCTATGATTTTATATTTATTCATTTTAAATATTGGTATATCTATGCATATGTATATTTGTTTTAAAGTATGTTAAACTTTTGTATTTACCGAAGATTTATGTTTACTTATGTAAATATGTCCTATTTTGTTTTAGGTATACTTTAACAATATATTTACTGTTGACTGTGATTTGTGTATAAGTTTTTTCTTTTTAAAATAAACCTGTGTTTATTCTGAATATCTGTTTTTCTTTGTTTTTAATATTTATCCTCTTTTACATAAGTTTTTTTCAATAGAAATGTTTCATATTTCACTGTGGGCTTTTATTGCTCAGTCTAGTTCAATCACCGCAGATTACCAGATTATTATTCAGATCACCGCAGATTACCAGATTATTATTCAGATCACCGCAGATTACCTGCATCAAATATAACAAAGATATCATGATTGTATATTTTAAACAAGTATATATAAACATGATGATTTCACCTTTAAAAATTGTAAAAAATTGTAGATTACTTACATTAATGTATTATTTAAATATGTTTTGTTTTACATATTTATTTAAAAATAAAATAATGCATAATCAACACTGTTACTGTCAATACTTATTTTTATATGTGATCTAATGAATAAAATGTTTTTGAATTTACTGAATCAGTGTGAGAATTTTGTACAACTTTTTAAATCTTTAGTTCAAAGTAGCAATCAAATTATTTATGGTGATTGTCATGTTGGGATTTCTAAAAGCATAACATTTACTGTTTGTAATCGTTCTTTAACTGATCCAATGCGGTTTTTTTGGGATTCTATTCCAGAATTAACATTTAAGCCTAATTGTGGACATGTGCAACCTAATTGTACTAAAGATATAACAGTTACCTATCTTAGTAATCTACCTCAAGTACTTGATCATGTCAACATTTTGTGCAGAGTTTCAAAAATATCTCTAGTTAACAAAAAGGTAATTTGATGTTTTTTTCTAAAAATATTTGAAATTTTAAAATGTAATCAGACTTTGACTAGTTGTATTTAGGTTTTAGATTGGGATGATACCAAACAAGTTATTTGTTGGATTGATGAAGTATCTTCAGAAGGATCACAGTCTATAAATACAGAAGAAGTTTCTAGAAACAAACCTTTAAAAAAAAAGATTGTTCAGATTGAAGAAGAACCTGCATACACTGTTATTCCTGGAGCGTTATTAGATACCGATCTTGTTTTTTCAGTTAATTGTCATTACTCAAAGTATCAAATAGGTACAGAAAAAATTAACTTTAAAGAAACATATATCTTGCAAACAAGATTCTACAGGTATAGATTTTTTTAATGTTTTGACAAATTTTTTATAAAAGTTAAAAGGATCCCAATCCTCCAAGACATGTTGTGTTCATGTTATAGAGAATCATAAAAAAAAATGTTTTGTGAAAAATTTTTTTTATTAAAACAAAAGAATATATGTATACCAAGAAAAAATAACTTTTTTATTTTGGTCAAAGCTCACCTTCTTTATTTTGTTCTATGCCAAAAAGTCAGAATAATATATGTTGCATTCTACAGACTTGATAATTTGTTCAAGTTTTGTTCCAAAGAGTTTCAGTACATGACGTCATTGATATTTTTGTTTATGTAAGAGATTGATTATGTAAACAAACAAAAAAGTCACTGACGTCATGTACTGAAACTCTTAGAAATAACTAAAACATGCTTGTATAAATTATCAAGTCAGTAGATAGTGGCATATATTATTCTGACTTTTTGGCCTTTGGAGAACAAAATGGAGAGGACAAGCTTCGATTAAAATAAAAAAGTTGGTTTTTCTTGGTATGCATTTATTTATTTTTTTGTTTTGACCAAAGAAATTTATCCAAAACATTTATTTTTTATCATTCTCTTTAATATGAACACAACATGTCTAGGAGGTTTGGGATCCCTTTAAATATATTATATGTGATTTACATTACTCAAAAAATCCATTCTAAAACTCAGTTCAAAATTTTCAATTGAATTAAAATTATTATGATGTTTCTTATTTTAGTTTTAAGCTAGCAAATGTAGGATTAGTGTCATTTGAATACAGTTGGAATATTGTACAAGGGATATATGAACCCATAGTTAGTTCTGTTCAATCTGATACTTTGTCTGAATTAAATGTTGAACAAAAAAAAGGCATGAAATCATCTCATAAAGTAACTATCACAACAAACTCTAATAATTCACAAATAAGTTGGCAAAGGTAAAAATTATTATTACATAAAAATATTTTAAAATATATTTTTTAATTGTATTAACAAGCTCATTAAAAAATTTTTTTGGCCATTATGGAACATTATTTTATTTTACAATTTAAGTATTTATTATTCTAATCAAATCACATAAACTAAATTATAAAATAAAAATTTGTTTAATGTGTATTATGATAATATTTATTTGATTTTTTTTTAAACATTAGTAACCAAGCTGAACAAGCTAAAAGTGTAGTGACTTCAAACACAAATGAAACAAATACTTTGTCTGAATGCATAAAATCTTTGGCTTCAACACAAAATTTAAATGGCCTTTGTGCAGATGAAAGACCTGTTAATAAGATAACTTCTGTATATGAAGCAGAGTTACTTAAGCGATTTCAAAGTATTTCAACTGCTAATATTCCTTTTACTATAGAACCATTGTTTGGAACTATTTTAGCTGGAGAGGAAGTTTCTTTTACAGTTCGCTTTTCTCCTGTAGAAATTGGAGATTTTAATGCAATTCTTTTTATGAGGTATTAGTAATATAATTAGTATTTGTGTATTTATTTATTAATTTAATATATTCCAAATAAATAATATTAGTTAGTAATTACTAAAAAATACAATCAGTAATTTAGCTCATTTATTTTAAATTTTTTATGTATATATTTTTAGCATTGATAATTTGGATCCATCTTTGAAAAAACCAATTATTTCACTGCACGGAAAAAGTGCTTTACCTTGGTGTCATTTTGAGTTAAAAGAATCTAATTACATAATAGAGCGACGTAATCCTGAACAAAAAGGGACAGTTGGATTGATACTTGATCATAACACAAAAGTTATTGAGTTTGAATCTTGTGGCGTGAGCAACATTATAAGGTTTTTTCGTAAATAATTAGTTGCAATTTTTTTATATGTAATAGATTGTAATCTTTTTATAAATAGTTGCAATTTTTATACACTAAAAGTAAAATTTACTTTTTTTATTTTTTCAGAAAGTTTTTCATAATGAATCCTACAGACATGTCTTACAATTATACATGGCTTTTAGAACAACATCCAGGAAATTCTTTATCAAGCTTTGTTTGTAAAACAATGACTGGATGCATTCAACCTGGAATGAAAACTGAAATAGTGTTTGAGTATAAAATGGATGTGTTTGAATTAAAAGAGTCATTGTGGCAATTTATTATTAAAGAACATGGTGTCTCTGTACCATTTCTCTTAGTTGCTTATGGGAGAGAGCCTTCTGTAACATTTGACAGATCACATGTAAACTTTAAACAAGTTTTGACAGGTATAAACAAGTTTTGACAGGTATAAACAAGTTTTGACAGGTATAAATAAGTTTTGACAGGTAAAAACAAGTTTTGACAGGTATAAACAAGTTTTGACAGGTATAAATGTTTTATATGTACAATAATTATTATAAATGTTTGGTTATATTATTTAATTTTGGCTGGAATAAATGTAAAATTTTGTAAAACGATAATTTTTTTTAAAAACTAATTACAGTTTGAGAAATAAAAGAGAGAAAATGATTTTCTTAATTTTATCAGGTTTATCTGTTTCACAGCAAGTGTTTTTACATAACAATGAAGACCAAGCCTTTTCGTTTAAATTTGAGAAGTCTTCACTTCAACCAACATCGCCAATGGCTACTTTTTTAATTGAACCAAATAAAGGGAAAATAGAGCCTAAAAACAAGTAATTATTTTCATTGAGTCAAAAATAAAATAAATAGAGCAAAGTGCCCTAATAATGGCTGATCTGAAAAACTAAAACTCTAATAGAAAATTATTTTTAATTATATTTTGCATTTACGTTTAGGTTGAATAACTCGTTGCGTTGGTTTGACGAGTTTCAAACTGATTTTTTTTATATCAGGAGAATAACAATTAAATCTTTTTTTATTTTTTTTTCAATGTCTAAATAAAATTATTTATATGATTATTTTTTATTTATTCATGTATTTTTATAAATCATTCAAAAATAGAATACATAAACAAACAAAAAAATAATAATAATATAAATAATTTTAATTAAACATTTAAAAAAATAAAAAGTTTTTTTTTTAAATCTCCTAACACAAAAAATTTCAGTTAATAACCTTTTCAAACCAACGCAACGAAATATAAAACTTTGATTTTTTCTAATGTTTCTGTAATATTAGGCGAACTCTTTTTAATAAAAAAATCTAATTATTGTTTAATAACAGACTAACTTAATTCAAATTATCAAAAAGTATTTTTTTAAAGTTTATTGAAACGCATTCATTGTTGTCGTTGTTTATAAAATTAAGATATTACAAATTATTTAAAAAATCATTAAAAAAAAATATTTTTTGATAGTTTAAATAAATGTCTTTTATAGCATGCAATTTTTACAAGCAATTTTTCACTCTATTACCTTATACTTTATTTAGCACATTTTTTGAAATATTTTCAAAAAAAAGCTGTGTTAAGTTGTCGCAAAAAAATAATAAATACTTGGTCAGGAATAGAGTGCGATTACATGCCTTTCCTGTCTACGAAAGGTTTGGATATGTATTATATAATTTATATCCAAAAAAATAAATTAATATTTTTAATATTTACTAACTACATAATAATTTTAAAAACAAAATTGCAGTTACATACTTACAAACATTACATAATACATATATATATATATATATATATATATATATATATATATATATATATATATATATATATATATATATATATATATATATATATATATATATATATATATATATATATATATATATATATATATATATATATATATATATATATATATATATATATATATATATATATATATATATATATATATATATACTATGTGAATATGTAATAAAATACCAATTAGATATGATTTAGATAGAATTTCATACCAATGAAATTCTATCTAAATCATATCTAATTATGTTGTATTTAACGATTGTACTTATGTTATGTCTGTAATATTGATGCATAGATATGTATGATAAGCATACTTTATGCTTGTATATAAATTTGTTCATGTCAACTGTGTATATTATGATAATATATTTACATTTGATGTATGTAAGGTCAACTATTGTAGTTAGTATACTCTATCTTTTATTTAATTTGAGTAATTATTGGAAAAACTATGAAAATAACAAAAAGTTTTAATTCTAAGTTTCTATTCTAAATATTCTATTCACTATATAAAGTGAATAGAATATTTAGCTGTATCTCCCTTAACAAAAAATATTTTAATGAAATTCATGATAATTGTTAAAACTTAGTTGTAGAAATTATTACACTAGGTTGAAAATTTGAAGCAAATGTTACAAAAAACCAGTAAAACAATTTATGTTATACTAAGTTGAAAATTTTGAAGCAAATTTTACAAAAAAAAAAACTAATGTTGATTTTAGTACCCAGGTAGAACGAGAATCAGAATAAAAAAGTAAAAGTTTGATAGCTCTTTAGAATTGGTATCACCAGTCAAATTGAAAAGTTATTCAAAACACAGCAAAATGCTTGGAGCAAAATAAAAGTTTCAGGGTACTAGAGACAAAGTTGCAAAAGTAGACAAAATTGCAAAAATAAATTTGCTAATATATAATATTGAAAAAGCTTCTTTAAAAATAGAAATAAAAAGTATTATTTCAAACAACAACATAAAGATATTTTAATATATTGGAAAAACATTTATATATTGCAAAAAAAATTATATATTGCAAACACATTAATATTTTCCAAAAAACACAAAGTAGATACTTGAAAAAACACAAAGTAGATAATTGAAAAAACACAAAGTAGATATTGAAAAACACAAAGTAGATACTTGAAAAAAGAAAGTAGATACTTGAACAAGATTATATACTAATAAAAATAAATTTAGTATTATGTAATTTTTTTGATATTTTTTCAATATATATTATTTTTTATTTTTTTGTACTGTTTCTTTTTTATAGTTCATTGTAGCTGGCTGATGTGCACACAAATTATTAGTGATTAATGTGCACGCAATTTAAAAAATATAAATAAATGTTTCTATTTTAGAATTCCTATAACTCTGACCTACAAAACTGAAAGTGAAGATGAATTGAACCTTAATGTCAAGTGCAAAATTGGTCAAAAAACAAATCCCCTTATCTTGAACATAAAAGCAGAAGGAGTTTCTTTTAATGTTGATATTTACTGTGAAGATTCATCTGCTAACAAAATAAAGCTATCTTCTAACGGTTTAAATCTTATAAATTTTTTAAATGTAAGTTTTTTAGATATTTTTTAAATACCAAAAAATCTTTTTATTCACTCATTTGTTACAAATCCATGTTTTTATTCTAGCTTGTTACTTTTTCAATAAATTTTTTAATGTTAGTAGAACTCATACAGTTTTTTTTATTAATAAAAAGTGTTTGTTTTTTTTTTTTTTGTTTTTTTTTTTTTTGAAAGGTTGAAATAAATGACAAAGCTATCAGACACATTCATATTGAAAACAACAGTAAATTTAACTTGGACTTTTTATGGATTGTTAAATCCAAAACATTAAAAAAAAAGAAATCAGTTTCATGTGTAAAAGTTATTCCTGATACTGGCACTGTGCTAAAAAATACAAAACAGTTGTGTCAAGTTTCTTTTACACCAAGTTATGTTATGACTTTAGAAGATTGCAAAGTCTTTTTAAAGGTAAGTGTTTGTTGACATATTGCAGCACATTGCATTGTTATAAAACAATGTAATCTAAAGTTAAGACAGTTGGAAGAAAATTGTTTAAAGCTATTTTTTCAAATTAGATATCAAACGGCCCAACATATCAATTATCTTTAACAGGAAATGGTGTTTTACCTGCAATAAAGTTTTCGTTTACCTCTTATAACTTTGGTCCATGTTTTTTATATCGGTCTGGCGCCACAATCATGAAAAAGATATTGTATATTACAAATGAAGATACTAAAGAAATCAGGTATTTTCAATTGTATTTTTTATTTTGTATTTAATATTATTTTATAGTTTAAGTGTGTTAACTGTCAGTATTTTATGTCATGAAAGTGTTAAATGTACCTGGTTACATTATGGTTAAACATAATGTAACCATAATGTAAACATTTAAAACAGTTTTTTATTTATGTTGTACTAAAAAAATAAGTTATGATATTTTAGCGTGGAATGTTTATATTCCAACACTAGTTATCTTGAAATTCATTTTCCCCCAGTTTTAATTTTTCCTGGTGAAACAAAAGAATCAGAAATCTGTTTTTACCCAAGAGATGTAAAATACTACAATGAACAAGTGGTTTTTGAAATCAATAGTTTATCTCCTATTTATATAAATGTGTGTGGTCAAGGAATTGAAATGATGGTATTTTTTCTTTTTAAATATATATATACATGTGTTATTGTTTTTAATTCATTTTATTAGCTTTACTTATTGAATATTGTGTTTTAGGTGGAAGTTTTAAATCCAGTTGATCGTAAGGTTAATTTAGGTTTTCTTAGAGTTAATGAAAAAGTATCAAAATCAGTTCGCATTGTGAACAACAGTTTAGCAGCAGTAGATTGTACATTCGCCTTAACAGCTACAACTTTAACACTGCAAAGTCAAAATATTATAGGACTTTTACCAAAATCTTTAATAAACTTGCAATCTAAAGCTACATTTGACATCACAATTTATTTTCATCCAAAATTTCGTACATCTCAATTTTATGAAGAGGTATTGAATTAAAAAACTTCTTTTATATTTGAAACTTTTTATTTTACAGGTATTTTAATTGAAGTATATATGATTTTGGTTATATTATCTTGTCTGGGTGTGTCAGTATCTTATGTGTGTGTTGTCTTGGTGTCAACTTAAATTACCATTGACTTCCCAAAGTACCATCATTTTCACCACAGTTGTTACTAAAAATAAAAACATTTTTTTAAAATTCTCAATTATTGTGATTGATAGTGTTTCCTAAAAAGTTTTACATTC